GACCAACTGAAGTAACGACCACTGGGGCTTAAGGAAGGCCATGGATATGTCAGAAATACTGATCTAACATATATTTCCTCTTTATTGAGAGTGACTTCAGAGCACCACAGGAATCAGGGGGCAGACAGAGTGGGGTTACACGTAACAAAGGTTTCCAGCCAGAATAAAACTGGATTCAACTTCTTTACTCAGGTAAAAGTGGAAAAAGTGCAGGGTCTGAAATATATAAAAAGACATAAAAGTACTCTCTTGGTTTCTCTGTAGAACATTTGTGCCGGCTGTTTCTGTGCAAACACTTCAAATAGGGTCGCGTATCCCTCTCTTGTCTCTTTTGTCTTGTTACATTTTCAGCGTTTTTGGCACGTTACATATGTGATGTGAGATGCTGGGAAGATAAAAAAATTATAATAATAATTGATAATTCCCCTCAGATGTATTAAAACTAATGTAACATGCCTGTTTTGAGAATATAAGGAGCAGAAAATACAGATATTTGTGTAAAAAATGTAGGCGGTAAAAGTAAAAACTTAAAAATAAATACTCAAGTTAAGTACAGATACCTGAAAAAACTACTGAAGCACAGTAATGAAGTATCTGTACTTGTACTTCTCCAGACCAAGTTAACATGAACACTTGAACACATGAACTGCTCAAACACTGATTCACACATTTCTATTACAGCACAGGGACTATGTGAGGTGCTTAAATTTATACAATTCAACAACATAAAGTCACAGAAGGAGTTTCAGGGGGTTTTATAAACTAGATACAATATAATATATCTTTGTAGATTATGCTAATACTTTTTATATGATTATATACGAGTTCCAGTAATGCAAGTACTCTTAGTGCTGATGATGTAACAACACTAGCTGGCTCTAAGCATCTTATCTCTTGGATTGGATGTATTCATATTCCCCATCTCCCATCAGCATGAAGCAACCCGGGCTTGAATAAAGGTTAAAAGAGACAGATTTATCCGTAGTACTACGATAGTTTGTTCGTGTAACCTCTGGGGTATAAGTTTGGCTCCATCCTGAGGAATCAGTTTGCTCAGTAGATTTCCCCTGGGAGCGTTATTCCGAAGGTTTGACTTGTTATTCCGAAGGTTTGACTGGCACCTAATGAAAAGACAATGGGATGCTGAAGGGAGGAGTGTGTGTCAATTAATGAAAACCAAATCTATCCTCATTTAGAAAAAGCACAGAGCCCGTTGTTATCCGAGGAGGGCCCAGGAGGAAGGAGCTAATGACCTCGCACAGGGTCGGCCCAATCGATGGCCAGGTTAAAAGCAGAGCCAGAGGCAGAAAGGCATCCTGGGAGCAGGAACATTTAGAGAATATCACTGATGTTTATGGAGAGTGTGAACACTGAGTCACCACCAGCACTAAGTCATCTCTTTAAGGGTGTTAACTGTGGATATCTTTACCGAACAGCTGCTGTAATTAATTAGAAAACTAATATTTTTGCTCCTGACTTCATTCATAGTGTGACATAGAAACAACTGAAACTAATGATTGTCTGACGGTTTTTTCTCGATTAATGATCAATATTTTAGTGATTCCAGTCATCATATAGGTTGTTTTTGTTGTTTTTAGCAACCAACAGACCAAAAGTCAAAGATAATCAATTTTATATGAACTAAAGCAAATCCTCACATTTGAGAAGCTGAACTCAGCCGATGAAAAATTACTCAATCGTTTAACAAAATCTATTTTCATTCATAACAAAGAATTAAAAATGTATATTTTCTCTCAATCAACTCATGAATAATTAACTAAGCTTTAGACACAGGCTTTTAAAAATCATTAGAAACTAAATGCTAAGTTGATTATTGAAAAATTAAGCAGCAACAATTTTGATAATCCGTTAATCGTCATTTTCTATGGACAAATGCCCAAAAATGGCTGGTTCCAGCTTCTGAAATGTTACATTTTATTGCTTTTCTATGTTTTTTATCACAAATATTATTATAATTTTTTGAGTTTAGGACAATTTCTTAGGGAAAAAAGCATTTTGAAGATGTCACAATGGGAATTTACGTCACAATTTTCTGATGCAAAAGAAGCAAAAATATCTGAAATATAATCTGGAATAAAATTGAAGGGAGCCAAAATAAAAATAAATACAATGAACGTTTTTTTACACGAGCAGCGGAGGAGGCGGTGGTGGGGCCTCCGAGACATTTTGGGGCTTGGGGGGACGGGGACGGGGGGACGGGGTGGTGGTGGTTGGGGGAAGAGTTCACCTCAGAGTCCCAGCTGGCAGACTGACAGTCAGGCAGGAGGGCGTTTGAACCCAACACACATGGGACATCTGACTGTTATCAAGTCCTGTGGGATAAAGCCATTACAGCCAGAGCCAGTAAAGCTGATTAACTCTCTTGTGTTTCCAACCAGCCACAGAAAGAGAGAAAGAGAGACACACACACAGACATGCGTGATCAAGTTTGAAATAACACAACAAAATAAAAATAAACTGCAAGATTGTTTGCCGCATTATCTGTTTGCCTCCCCTCCCCAACTTATGGGGATAGCCTACTTAAAGAAGAAGGGGGAGGGAGGGAGGAGGGGATCCTGCATTATATCTTAAAGCTGGATCCTCCTGCAATAGATAAAATAGAAGCCTGACAAACAAGACACTGATTAAAAAACGACTGTGCATCCCTGAGGACAATCTGCTCACATCATTAGATGGAGACGATGTTACTCTCAGTGTCCCAAATGCAACAGAGGAGGAGGAGGAAGGAGGAAGGAGAGAGAAGGGGGATGAAATGTTGAGTATTTCTGTCATAATAGAGTTTGAGGACTTGACAGAAGTGATGTGTCTAAGGACACAACATGCTGGAGCTACTATCAATAAAACTCCCATCAATAAAAGGTCAAATCCACAGGGGAAGCCCGGGAAGGTTAAAAAAGACAACATGATGGATGGAGAGCCGACAGAAGGACTTCGTGGGGATGACAGCTGGGCATTAAAGGAGCTGCGTTTAGATTATAATAACATCTACATTTAGATTATACCTTCAATTAGTGAGCAGGTGGAAGTTGCTCAAGGACACAAACAGGTGATGCCTGGCTGTCCTGTAAAGAGACAGGTTTGGATCCTCTTTGGGAATCAGCTGTTTCTGGACTAAACCAGCCTGTAAACCATAAAATGTCTCTTCAAAATGTAGATTTTGTGAATTAGTTTATATAAAAAACCTTATGCAACAAATAAGCACACACACACACACACACACAACAGCAGCAGCCACGTTAGTCTGCTCTGTAACTTGTCGGGATAACGTCGCCATACCTTGAGGTAGTCGTTTTCAGATCTCAAATCTTCCACCTCCCGCAGCAGGTCCTCCTCAGTTACATCCTTGGTGCCTGGCAGTCTGAATTGTGCGCCTGATGAGGGTTTCTCCTGCTTGTGTTTCTCTCCGTGCGCCCCCGGAGCGGGCTGAGCCTGAGACATGCTTCCCTTGGCGGCGGAAGCCTCGGTTGTGCGCAACGGAGCATCAGCAGCAGCAGCCGCTCCGGTCGCTTCTGCCCGCAGCGGATTATCGGCTCCCAGCTGCTGATCCCGGTCACTAGAGCCGGTACCGGACTCTGCGTCGCTACTAGCGGCCGGTGCCAGCCTCTGCTCGTCCGACAGCGGCTCGGACGGGCAGTCTGACAGGTCTGAGCTGCTGTCGGTCTGGCTGACCCGGCCGAGAGGCGCTCCGGTCGGTACCCGGATCGGGGATCCATGGCTGAGAGGGCCCGGAGACCCTGGGGCTAGTTTCCCCTTCTTGCTTTTGGCGAGGATCGGACTGCTGGTGCTGTCCGGTTTGATGCTGGCGGGTTTGGGCTCGGCTGCTGCATGCTGGGGCACCTTTGTGGGCTTTTTCGCCACAAAGGACTTGGTGTTACTTTTGGCCGAGGCTAGTTTCTCTTTCGACCCGGTTGCGTTGCGCCTGGAGCTGCGGTTCGGATGGGCCAAGGGCAGTGAGGCAGACTGCTGCTGCTGCTTGCTGAGTTTGGGTGATTTTGGTACGATGGCAGGTGGTTTGGTGGAGCGGGAGTGCACATCCTTGAGGAAAGGTCTGGCCGGGGAAGGCGCTCGGTTCAGTCTCTTCTTCTCCAACTGGTGGTTCTGCGGTTTGGTGTCGCTGCCAGAGCCATTGGAGCTCTCCATTATACACCGACACCGGCAGCAGGAGGGCGATGAAGGAAACGATCAATCCACAACACCACCGCGGAAAATCTCTGACATGCGACAGCAGAAAAACAGCCAGGTTTCTTCTTCCTTGTCGGGTTGGGGATGCGCATCCTGCGTTGTGCTGGATGATTTTTTTTACTCCATCTCGTTTGCATTCACCAGGTTGTCATTGTAGTCCTCTCTGCCTGTAGCCCCCCTTTGGAGGAAACGCTGCAATATATTAAAAAAAAGGGGGGATTACTGGGAAGGATGGGATGACGGACAGGTTGCATCTGCAGACAGAGCTCGTGAAGGTTTAAGTTGGAAAGAAAAAGTCACATCAGCCTTCTTCCTCTTCCTCCCGCACACCGGGGCTCCATCCCTCTGTAACACCGGGCTGTGAGTGCTGGGCCCCCCGTGTCTCGTACCCCCTTCCCACTCCTTTCCTATCTGACATGTAAGATCTGCAATCGCTGCGGTGTGAGGCTCGACGCCCGTGATTTTCTGCGGGGCGCATGCGCTGCTGCCTCTTACAAGCGCCCAAGCACACCCCTTGTTTTCTCTGGTACCAGGTCTGACACGCTTTGGTGCGCATGCCCCTAATGTGAGAGAGAGAGAGAGAGAGAGAGAGAGAGAGAGAGAGAGAGAGAGAGAGAGAGAGACACACACACACACACACACACACACACACACACACACTTTCAGGAGAGACTCACCTTATAAGTCAGTGTCTCTAAGTCAGATCAATGATTTTAGACCCCAATCTAATATTTATGATCTGTACAATGAACTACAAACATATTCCTGGAATCAACACAGTAAAATAAAAGCCATAATCTGGTAATAAATATAGATATCTTTAATTGCATTTCATTAGTTCAAGAATGCCACAAGTTATAAATACCACAAATCCGCTTTAAACATGCCGAAAACTTTTCAAAGACTTATAACAGGTTTTAATACAAAGTACAGTCTTCCATCTTTTAAAGTACACATTTCAAAATAAAAGCATCGTTTAAAATGTATATTGAAAAAACACTGAGTAGTAATAAGGCTTTGTTATTAAAACAGAGACCACAGGGTTAGTGCCAAATGCTAAAAGTCAGGGGGACAAATGAGTGGTTTGATTCCAAAACAACAACATCAAAAGATGGGTTTTTTTTTATTTTAAAACACAAGAGAGAGATAAAGTTGCAGATAATTTGTGTGCGCACGTTGTTTGCTGGCTGATGATCTTATTGTGAGATGTGCTCGAATGTCAGTGAAGGTCTCACATTTTCAACATCTTTATTGTGGTATGAACTCTATGCATTTGTTAGAATACATAATGTGCCAGTTCAAGTCCACAAAAGCTTGACATCAACAGAAAGTTAAATTAACCAATTTTAACCAAAAAACAGTCAGTTTTTTTTAAATCAGGTCCTTTGAATGGGCTCGTCCTTCCTCATCCTCATCCTCAAGACTCGGGCTTTTACTTCGACATGTAAAAACAAAAACAGAAACACTCACAGTGCTACATCGCTAGTATTGCATTCGTTTAACAAAAAACAAAAAAAGACGGAAGAATTAAATGATTATTAATGTCTATGAACGCAGGAGGGCTTAACATGCATAGCCTAGTTTGTTTTTTAGATGTGCAAGTGATGGGATGTCTCCACACTGGTCTGTAACAAACTGCCCCAAATCATAAACTCAAAACAGCTGACCTCTTCTAAAAAGTAGTATCTTTATAAAGACGTTATTTATTTGCTATGTAACTCAAATCAAGTCTACAGTAAAAAAGCCTGTCAACATGAGCAGATATGAGTTTCCTGAGTCATTCAAAAACATAACAAACCTTCCTGCACTCCCCCCCCCATAAAAAGAGGAGACACACATTCTTTTCTCAGCTGTTTCTGAATTCAGAGGAAAAAAAAACCATGAAAAATAAAAACAACTTTGCAAGATTAGTAACAAAACCAAAAGGCCAAAACTATGTGTGTGTGTGTGTGTGTGTGTGTGTGGCGCGCACTAACTACTGTTTTCCCCTAAAAAAGCCAGCAACACACACACACACACACACACACACACACAGAGAGAGAGAGAGAATGCCCCCTGTGAAAACACCAATCCCTCAAAAGACTACATTACCCATCTCTCCTTGCACCGCCATCGCACTCTTCAACGGTGGCGTGGAAGAGTTCAGAGCGGCCGCTAAGCGAGGCAACATTGATCTTCACTAGTGCTAAACTACGAGTCGTGTGCTTTCTCTTTTTTATCTTCTACATGTCAGCTTAACTAGGTAAAGATGGATTGTAGTGCAAAACATTACGATTTATACAAATGTGAAAATTGAGCCGCTCCAGCCGCTTTAATACCTTAAGGCAAAGGAATACAAACTGATATGATCACCACCACACAACCCCGCCTACTGCTGGCTACAAAAAATCTTGCACCTTGTCCAGTCATTACAGCAACACACCGTATTTACATCATGTGCTTTTTTGTTTACCTCAAGTCAACTTGGTAATAATATCTATTAATAAGAGTATAAAACTACTGTACCTAGACCCAGAGTTTTAAAACTAAGCCGAAGAGATGTAAGATTATTATCCCTTTTTCTGTAAGCTAGATAATGCAGAGATACCAGACCATCGGGGCAACTCAGACAATGTCAAACTTAGTGTACAGTATGTGTAAGGACTTTTTTTTTTTTTTTTTTTTAAAGAAAACAGGAAGAGAAGAAGCTGTAAGGCCCTCAATAATCCTCCTCCTTGTAAAATGTGCAACTGCTACCAGAGGGCTCTCTACCTCGAAGGCACCTGCGGGGCACAGCTAGCCTAAACGTTTCGGGGGGAATGAGGTAGTCTGGGGTCAAGTGTAGACAGAAGTGTTGGTAGGAAGTGGGTGATTCACCAGGCCTAAGTGTTAGTGTAGTACGTGCCATAGTGTACAGTTACAAAACAGGAGAAGAAATAATAACAATACTGGTTGTTAAGAGAGTCCATGCATCTTTACATCAGCAGTCAATAAACCCAAACTGCTGCTGTTTGCTGCCCCCTGGTGGCCAGATTGGTACTCTGCATGTGTGAGCTGAGTGTGTGTGTGTCTATGTGTGTGTGTGTGTGTGTGTGTACACAGGATGGGGGGGTGGACCACTCGGACTCTCAGCAACAGCGCATGCGGGGAGGTGGCAACTCCGGAGGCACTTCCGGTTCAGGCTGCAGAGACAGGACACTGTTGGAAAGCTCCCTGTTGGGAACTTCCAGAGGCATCTGTTGGATCAGGAACAACAGACAAGTCAGAAAAGACACATTGCATTTTTACAGTTGACATCCACAGTGACTTATTGAGTGAAACCCTGAACTTATGTAGACTTTACCCAGAGGAGCTGTATGGCTGAATCAGTTGCACTGAACATTAAACGTATTAAACTCAGCTCCCCAGTCCAAAGTCTGAGTGAGCTCATGTGTGACTAGAGGAGGTCACTGTCCAGAGAATTCAATATCAGTCCACATGAGTCTCATTCTACCTCATGTTTTAATGCCTTTCTTCTTCACTCGTGATGTGAAAACATCAGATTTCCACCGTCAAAGAAAGTAAAAACGTGCTTCCTGGTCCTAATTCAGTTATAAAATTTCACCACACTATCTTTCCTGTCGGACAGACAGACTGGAGTCTAATACTATTCTCTGTCAGGTTTTTTGGTTTGTGGTCATTTTGAGACGCAAAATGAATCACGAGTCCTCCTGCAAGCTCCACCCATCTGAAACAAACAATCTCCTGCTTGTGTGCTACATGTGTGAAAGGTAAAATATGAACAATGTCCCAACCTAAATCTTAGAACCTTGATAAGAGTAGGTTTACACTTCCAATTCATTTCAATGAAAAACAGGGTGAAATACATTGGCTTCCAGTCCTGTCCCACCCGCTTTTGACCACATCACGTGAGTAAATTTCCCCGGGTCTGACTGCACCTCCACAGACAAAATACTAGAAAGGCACCGATAACAAAAGTCCAATCAATAAAGACTATCAACCTCTTGCTCTACTGGTAACACACCAACCTTGCTAAGGATGTCATCCACAAGCTTCAGGAAGATCTCGTCGACATTGAAGTTGTCCTTGGCACTAGCTTCGCAGAAGCGCATTCCACTTATTCGAGAAGCAAACTGTAACACAAATCAAAGCTCAATGTCAGCAAAGAACAACTGTAGCAGAAAACTGAACACAGAAAGATTTGACTGAATTGTTGGATGAGCATGCTGTAATGCAACACGTAATGTCCGTTTCCGGAGGAGGAGATCAGTGAGTCCATGTTCGAAGACAATCCACATCCATATTCCGCATTATTTAGTGTTTTTCTGCTTTAATTTGTGGCTGAATCGTCAAGATCTTCTGTTCATAATACACATCAATACATCTATTATTTTCACTACTGCATCTTCCTTTAGATACTCTGTTCAAATTCACAGAAACGGGACATGTGGTTTTGTGATATGCTGGTGGACGGGAGGATTTGTGTGTTGTACGTACCCTCTCTCCCTGCTGTCTGGAGATGATACGATCAGTCTCACAGTCCAGCTTGTTCCCGACCAGGAGGAGCTCTGCTTCCTCTGAGGCGTACTGACACAAAACAGAAAGCAGAGAGGAGACACGTCAGGATCAGGATATCATCAACCTCCCATTTCATTAAAGCCAAAACAGATTACTGGGATTGAATCTTTTCAGCACACAGTCACCACCAAAACTGGTTCTATAGTACAGCAATGAAATAAAGACTTCATAAAAATGATATATTAAGGTTGATATTCTAAAAAAAACAGACATTTTCTTACACATTGGGTTTGACAAGTGATTTGGCAAGGTTGCAACTTTTTGCTTCACTCTGGTTAATTATACCTATAAAGCTACAGCATAAGGAGCTATGACTATGACAGGACTATAAGGACATAAAGACTTTAATGTTTGATCCATTTCTGAGTAATAAGGTGGCTCTCTCTTTCTCTCTCTCTCTCTCTCTCTCTCTCTCTTTTGATCTCTCTCTCTCTCTCTCTCTCTGGAGTACTAAAAAGCCAAAATCCAGTGTTACAAAAAATATGAAAAGGTAACACCTATCCAGTGTTCACGTCAAGGACAAAATGCTCACATTTCACTTATTTATTTGGCTCACAGCACAATAAAAACTGCCTACGAGTTACGGCACACAGCCTTCAGCAGAGTGTTTGAAGGATACAAGTACAATTGAACACAAGCATTCAAGTGTTTTTCTTTGTGATGTGAGCCAAATAAATAAGTGAAATGTGACTATTTTGTCCTCCGTGTATTGAAAATAAATGTAAACGTAACAAAAAGGCAAATAAATGTGTCACAGTCAGGAGTCATCACATAAACCACCCCCTTCAAAATGAATACATTCAAACCACCTGGAGCTGGTCAGACTAATTTGCAAATGTAAATCTTGCCAGAGTTGGGCAGATTTGTCTGGTTCCCGGACTAACTTGGGACTCTAACCCTACCAATAATCAGCTCATTGTACAGATATCAGTATCGGAGTATGTGAGCTGATAAGTAACAAGGAATTTAATTACGGGAAGATGCCAAAGATCTGTTCTCAAACTGTCACTGTTCTGTAAAATAAAAGTGTAAAATGTCCTTCCCAGCCCAGTCAAAACACTACCAAAAATGCCTATTTATGTAATTGGTTGTGTAAAGATATATATAAATATTAATATCAGTATTGGCCTCAAGAATCCTGTATCGGTCTGGCTATAATTAAAATAGTGTTTCTGCCAAGTGCTATCTTAAAAAAACACCTCTAGCTCATGTTACCGCTGCCAGAGATTAAAAACAAAGGCAGAAACTGAAGGGTGGACATGAGGGGGTTGTATGGGTGGGTTGGTTGTTATTGTGCTACATTTTTATGCAAACCTTGCTGGCAAATGAATGGCAGAATCCAAGGAACTGTTTTGTGACTGTGCACGAGTAAACTAAACACAACAAGCACCCAAAACACTGCACAGAAACACACTTTCTGACAAGAGCTGGCTCATTTCCTCTAATGCGATCTTTAATAAAAATATAGCTGCCCACAGATTTACCAGCAGTCTGACTGTTTGCTTACCTTGTCTATCATTTTCATCCATTTGGGCAGGTCGTCGAAGGTCTCCTGCTTTGTGATATCGTACACTAGCACTATTCCCTTGGCACTTCTGTAGTAGGCTGATGTGATGCTGTTGAACCTCTCCTGCCCGGCCGTGTCCCTGGTTGAAATTAATGAAACCCAATATAATTAAAGGTCTGTACAGTCAGTGGAGGGTCACCAAGACCCTTCAGAATACCAAACAGCTAATATCCAAGGAATGTTTCATTCATTAAAGAAGACTATGACTAACAGGCTAATGTTTTAAACTACAACTAAGATCAAACAACAAACGGGGGAAAAAATAATCAGTTTTGTGTAAAGCGGTAATCAATGTTAATAATCAATAATGCTAACAATATAATCGAATAATTTCTCTTTTTCTTAAATATTATGCACATTATTCCTTTTAAATCCCTCTTTGTGTGAGCTAAATCTGGTATCCACATTATCATTTGGCATCTAGAAAACAAAATAGAGATCTGAAGGGTTTTATTTAAGTATATATATATATATATATATATATATAAATAATGTAGTTGTAAACTGATATAACAGTTTAATAATGTATCTTTGTGACAGTGTAACAGATAATGTTGTTATACTGTAAAATATGTCTTCAGAGAAGTTAGAATTGTTGAAAATACAGCACATTAACACTTTAAAATGTCTTTATATATGCTTACAGATAAATGTTTATTAAATGTATTATTAAATATATGGTGCTTCTAAATGCCAAAAGTAAAGTGTTACCATTAAAGCAATACTAGATCTTACAGGTAGATCAATAAGAAGTACAAACACCTGAAATTACATTCACTCACAGACACTAAATATATTCTGGAAATTACCTCTTCATTTAAATATATTTATAAATGCACGAGTTAAGGCTATGTTATGATTATGTTATGATTCAGCTGAGTCTGAGTTAGCAGCATGATAAGCAGTTTGAGCTCCACTCACAGTGAAGTGTTACTGTACCTTCAGCCAGCTAGTCTCTCCCTGTTTCCCCATGTGAGTCACAGTCAGGCTTATGAGCAGAAGAGCGGACAGAGACACAGTAGCACAATGGCAGGGTTAGGTAAGGCCGGGGCGCGGCAATGGTGGAGCTTGATGTGAGCAGTTCAACATGAGAGACACAGACGACAGACGAACCATCCCGAACGAACAGAGCAGAGGAACGGGGGATAAAAAAAGGGGGACGTGGTAACGGGTAGATGTGACGTGGTGGTGTGAGGGTGGATGGTGGATGGGGGGGGTGGTGTTAGTGAACAAGGACAGATGCGTTAGTGAAATAAGCGATGGAGTTCACACAGTTTAGCCCAACACACACACAATCAATGCAGTCAGTACAAAAGCTTTCCTAACTGTAATTTGTAGCATGATACTCATTTTTTTTTCCTCAAGTGTCGGACAAAAACCGCTATATGTTTTCAAAATGTAATTAAAGGCGTGGTTGAAGTCACAAGACACAAGTATGTAGAGGCTTAATAGAGTCACACCACTGATATAACATCCTCCCGGTCACTGCTGGTCTATCTGAGCAACCTCTGAATCACTGCTGCCTACATCTCTGTTTATTTACAATTCAAACAGTATATTAGAACAACGAAGGGAAACAAAAAGGTGATTCAGTCTGATTATTAAGCTACAATAACACTATATGTCTCCTGTGGCCAGCTGCTATACAACAGACGTATCACTGACATTTTAATATATCACTAATTGGTAGAGTAACAAAGGACTTTTATCTTTTTTCAGAGAAATCAGTGAGATCAAACTGAATCAAAAACCACACTTCTTCTACTTATTAGTACTTTAAAAAGAATCTGAAGGGTGTTAGTGCTAATTCTGGACTGTGTAAAAGAGATACAAAGAAGAGATAACTTCAAAAATATGCACTGTATACTTTGTAGTTTCTATTAAATATTCAAATTTAAGTGTACACATATACATATTATTGATTTATGTGGTGATGCTGCCAGCCTGCGAGGAGCTTCTGCACACAGAGGTCCACGCTGTCCTGACCAGCCAGTAGGATATGATCCCTCACTGACTTCCCACTCGCAAACACCACTAATAAGTCATAACTGCCACTGCCGGGGTTTTTAATAAGGTCTCTACAATGCCAGCAAAGTGATTTACAGTATATCTTTAACACTTTAACTGTATTAGAATCAAAGTGAAGTTAAACTTTGAAATGAGAGGAAGCACTTTGTATTGGATTTAATTAACTTTAATTATCGTGTGTTGGTACAAATTAAGTGGTGAATGTTAAATATAAAAGGTAACAACGCCCGATGTAACCAAGAATAAAGTGCCAACTTTAGACAACATTATGGTCATGTGCTCCTCCACATGAAGTTAAAATTAAAATCCCCACTGAAGCCACGAGTTTCTAATATAGGCCTCTTCACTGACAAACATCTCATGGTTAATGGTTGACAAAGACATGTTTTGGCAATTCAAAACATGCAATCGGCACATCTTATTTGCACATGCATTACCTACCCAGCACCCAGTAAGCCAGCACTAGTTTATGTAAGGAGGAGCCTGCCGGGGGACAGACACAAAGAAATGCACCATGCAGAGGAGTAAAGGAACTGGAAACTTCTGCCCAGTTACTCACCAGATCTGTAGTCTGATCTTCTTCCCTCTCAGCTCCACTGTCTTGATTTTGAAGTCAACTCCTGTGAGGGGGAAACAGAAACACACATGTGGAAATGCTTTATGTAGGCGTGATTTCAGTTGGATCAAGCTGCATCCTTCTTTGTATTAAAAGGGTTATGAGTGGTTAAATTATATTTTTTATTTAAAGGTAATAGCTGCAAAACAATTAGTAAGGCAGTTACATCTGTCAAACTTTTAAAAGATGTGCACAATCATAGTGATCTTCCATGCTAAAGACATTTTCAGCCAGACTTGAGTGACCAATTCTTCCCTCCGCTGGTCTCTGGGATCAAAAGGAACACAATATTAGTGACGAGCTGTGTCACGGGAATGACAGGGCACGAAATGGAGCTCTGCCATAGCAGCTGTGTGACTATTTTGGGATTGGACATTATGGTTGACTGTTGTATTGGTCACAGGAGTGTTTACTCAACTCCACATAGCTTTTGCGTAGATAAAGCTGGCGGCATCCACAACCAGGGCACAGCAGTTTGTCACAAGGTACTTTTGTTTTTTAATAAAGTATGACTCTCATACCCACCCTGTATATATGCATTACATTAATGCACTCCCGTCTTCTGTACAGTTTTCTTATCTTTATTTATCTATATTTTTTTAAAAAGTACTTTATTCTTGTGAGATTTTGGTGTGACTTGCACATTTTTGTGTGATTTACATATTTATCTTATTATTTTGTGTGTGATTGTATATTTTAAGCACCATTGCACCAAGACAAATTCCTCCTATGTGTAAAAACCCACCTGGCAATAAATCTCCTTCTGATTCTGACTAAAGTTATTATGTGTATTTATTTAAAAATGTGAAATAATGTCAAAATCTTTGAGTGTAAATATTAAAAATGGTTTGTTTTTTTTAAAGAAACGGAGATGACACTCCTTCATTCAAATAAACAAAACAGTGACACCAGTAGAAAATGAAAAATGAAAATGAAAGTTAATAAATTACTGGACTGCTGCAGACTAAAGTCATTCGGATAATAAGTTTCCTCTCTACTGAGTTTCTCTAAAACTAAAAACAAACAGCCTACAGATACACCAACGCAAGGCCCACACGTGTGTTTGTTTGGTTGCTTCATAGCATTAAAGTCCACTAGTTAAAACAGTGTTGTTGTTGTTGTTGTTGTTGTTGTTAGCCAGCTACAGCAGGCAGTGTAACCTCAGTTCAGTCCCATTACACATCCAGCATAAGGTAGTTAAAGTATCCTGTCCTCCAGCAAGTAGACGGAGCCCGCCGCCGCCGCTGCTGCTAAACGCTGTCAATAAATAAATAAACAAACAAACAAACAAGTGGACACAAACAAAACAAAACAAGTCCCGTAGAAAAGAAGCACCGTGTCCTCACCAACGGTGGACTTGCAGGCTTCGCAGAAAGTGTCGTCGGTGAATCTCTCCATGAGGCTGGTTTTACCGACACCGCGGGAGCCAATGATGATGATCTGGAGTTTAAAGTCAGCGGGTCTTGGCGGCATCTTCCTGCGGCGCGACTGAGCCCCGAGAGCCGGGGACGAGTTCGCGGAGCCCCCGCCGCCTCCTCCTCCACCTCCACCACCGGCGGCGGCGGCGGCGGCCCTCCGCGGTATGTCATATCTGTGATCCATCAATAATCCCTCATCAGTGATCACAACAAACCGAAGAAACGGAAAGAAAATCAACAGAGAAACGCGCGAAAACTGCGACGCGACCAAAAAAAAAACTATCCGCTATTTCCAACTTTCTTCAGCCTCTGCGGGAGTTTGGGAAACTTTGTCACCCGCCGACAGTTGTTGTTGTTCAGCCATTAGAGACCGGAGTGACGTCACTGACCACCCTAACTCCCACTTCCGCTTCCGGCGCGGCGCTGTAATCTTTATATAAATTATTATTGTTTTATTTTTTTAAAAACAGAAGATTCGTGCCGATTTAATGACATACATGCGAGCGATTAAGCACTAAATTAATTTTTTATTTACTTTTTTTTTTTTTTAATTACTATTTATTTATTTCATATTTAAATATTCTTATAGCAGCCGCCGGTATAGCCACCAA